TGTGTAACAGGCTCTAACAGAAGGAAGACTCGCCGACGTAATTCCCAAGCTTCCCCGTTCAAAGATTATCCATTTTGGTCAGAAATTGGCTCAGAAATCGGCTGGAGCGATGTTTCAACGAGCCTAACAGAAGGAAGACTCGCCGACGTAATTCCCAAGCTTCCCCGTTCAAAGATTATCCATTTTGGTCAGAAATTGGCTCAGAAATCGGCTGGAACAATGTGTCAACAGGCTCTAACAGAAGGAAGACTCGCCGACGTAATTCCCAAGCTTCCCCGTTCAAAGATTATCCATTTTGGTCAGAAATTGGCTCAGAAATCGGCTGGAGCGATGTTTCAACGAGCCTAACAGAAGGAAGACTCGCCGACGTAATTCCCAAGCTTCCCCGTTCAAAGATTATCCATTTTGGTCAGAAATTGGCTCAGAAATCGGCTGGAACAATGTGTCAACAGGCTCTAACAGAAGGAAGACTCGCCGACGTAATTCCCAAGCTTCCCCGTTCAAAGATTATCCATTTTGGTCAGAAATTGGCTCAGAAATCGGCTGGAACAATGTGTCAACAGGCTCTAACAGAAGGAAGACTCGCCGACGTAATTCCCAAGCTTCCCCGTTCAAAGATTATCCATTTTGGTCAGAAATTGGCTCAGAAATCGGCTGGAACAATGTGTCAACAGGCTCTAACAGAAGGAAGACTCGCCGACGTAATTCCCAAGCTTCCCCGTTCAAAGATTATCCATTTTGGTCAGAAATTGGCTCAGAAATCGGCTGGAACAATGTGTCAACAGGCTCTAACAGAAGGAAGACTCGCCGACGTAATTCCCAAGCTTCCCTGTTCAAAGATTATCCATTTTGGTCAGAAATTAGCTCAGAAATCGGCTGGAACAATGTGTCAACAGGCTCTAACAGAAGGAAGACTCGCCGACGTAATTCCCAAGCTTCCCCGTTCAAAGATTATCCATTTTGGTCAGAAATTGGCTCAGAAATCGGCTGGAGCGATGTTTCAACGAGCCTAACAAAAAGAAGACTCGCCGAACGTATTCCCAAGCTTCCC